AAAAAAAAAGAAAAAATTTAGAAGGAGAAGTGAATATGTGTTGTATGATATTTCATTGTTTGGGGTTTGTTTTTTTCTTTTTGTGCTCATCCTGAGGCTTAAACTCAGGGCCTTGGCACTGTCTCTAAGGCTCTTTGTGTTCAAAGCTAGTATTCTACCATTTGATCTACAGTGCTGCTTCTGCCTTTTTCTGAGTTTTTTTGTTTGTTTGTTTTGTCAGTCGTGGTGACTGAACTCTGGGCCTGGGCACTGTCCCTCAGCTCTTCAGCTCAAGGCAAGCGCTCTATCACTTGAACCACAGCACCATTTCTGTTTTTTTCTGCTTATGTGGTGCTGAGGAATTGAACCCAGGGCCTCATGCATGAAAGGCAAGCACTCTACCACTGAGCCACCTTTCCAGCCCCTTTCTGAGTTTATTAGAGATAAAAAGTCTCATGGGTCTTGCTGCCCAAGCTGGCTTTGAATCCCAGTCCTCATATCTCAGCCTCCTGAGTCGCTAGGATTACAGGAATGAGCCACAGGCACCTGGCTTTGCTTGTTTTTTTGTGTGCCAGTCCTGTAGATGGTAGATAAATGTCATTTTATATTTGTCAAAATCCATAGAACATACAACATGAAGAGTAAACTTAAAGCCTGTAACCTCAGCACTGCAGTGTTAGATGCAGTAGGAGAATTCTAGGCCAGCCTGGGCTTTGTGTATAACAAGACCCTGTTTCATAAAACAGAAGTAATAAATATGGGATGCCTATATGTGAACTATGGGCTTCAGGGGATGGTGCATCCATATTACAAAAGTCCATTCTGGTGTGCTATGTTGGTAGTAGGGAGCTGTGCCTGAATGCTGTCTACTTTCTTCTCAATTCTGCTTTTTTGTTGGGAGGGCGAGGTGGGGGCAGTCCTGGGGCTTGAACTCAAGGGCTGTGCACTGTCCTTGAGCTTCTTTTGCTCAAGGCTAGCACTCTACCACTTGAGCCACAGCACCGCTTCCAGCTTTTTCTGTTTATGTGGTACTGAGGAATGGAACCCAGGGCTTCATGCATGGGAGGCAAGCATTCTACCACTAAGCCACATTCCTGGCGTCAATTCTGCTTTAAGTTTGAAAGTACTCTTGAAGCCATGTGGTTCATGCTTGTAATCCTAGCTACTCAGAAGGCTGAGATCTGAGGATCACAGTTCAAAGCCAGCCCCAGCAGCAAAGTCCGGGTGAGACTCTTATCTCTTATTAACCACCAGAAAGCCGGAAGTGGCACTGTGGCTCAAGTGATAGAGCACTAGCCTTGAGCTGAAGAGCTGAGGGACAGTACACAGGCCCAGAATTCAAGCCCCATGACCAACCAAAAAAAAAAGAAAAGAAAGTACTCTAAAATAAAAATTACTGGCACATAGTATTTGATTACTAAATATATAGTTTGTTTTTTTTTGTCTTTTCTTTTTTGGTACTGGGGATCGAACCCAGGACGTTGCGCTTGCTAGGCAAGCGCTTTGCCACTGACCTACGTCCCAGCCCTAAATATACAGTTTTGTATGGTAATCTATTATTAAGACTGATTTCGTGTGGAAGAAAAGTGTACAAAAGTTAACAAGCCTGCCTGGCGCCGGTGGCTGTAATCCTAGCTACTGAGGAGGCTGAGATCTGAGGATCCCGGTTCAAAGCCAGCCCGGGCAGGAAAGTCCATGAGACTCTTATTTCCAATAAACCACTAGAAAACCGGAAGTGGGGCTGTGGCTCAAGTGGTAGAGTGCTAGCCTTGAGCTGAAGAGCTGAGGGACAGTGCCCAGGCCCAGAGTTCAGGCCCCATGACCGACCAAAAAAAAAAAAGTTAACAAGCCTGTTTTCTGTTAAATCAGCAGCTTTTACACGATTTTTCTTTTTAGAGCAGCTTTAGGAGTAAAGCAGGAATGAGCAAAAAGTTCATTGTACATTTGTGTTACATGAGAGAGAATATGAGCGGTGTTATTAATCTGCTTCACTATAATATCGTGTCAAATGTCCACCTTAGAAGAGCTGATGGAATGATCAAACGCAAGGATGCAGCAAGAGCCAGCCTTCGGGGAACTCTGAAGATACTACAGCTACAGCTAGGGGAGAGCGTGTTACCATAAATTGGATAGACCAAACCGCTATGTAGGCTTCCAACGCGGCGGCACGGGATAGCCTGGACAACTCGGCCGGACCTAGCAGATGCGGGGCCTACGTAAGTCATGCGAGTGCGCAGGCGCAGAACCAGACAGCCTGACCAACCCCGCTGGAGCCCAGCCGAGGGGCTGGCCTGGCCTGGCCCCGCCCCCTGGCCTGGCCCCGCCCCCGCGGAGCCTCCTACCGGGGTCGCCCTGGAAACGCATTCTACGGGAACCGGCAAGCGCCAATGGGAAGGGAGCGAGTGCCACGAACGGACCAATGAGGAGGGAGCGGTGCGGGGTTTAAACCAGAGTCGAGTCGACTCCTCTGGCGTGCTGGTAAGGAACGGCTGTTGGTCTGTGAGGCTCCGGGTTCTGCTTCTGCCCGCAGAGCAGCTCCCTGGTGAAGAGGAACCATGGCGCTCCGGGTCACCAGGGTGAGACGCCGAGGATCGCAGAACGCGGTGGGAGAGGACCGCGGCAGCCGTGCGGGGTGGGGGGCAGGGTCGCCCAGAGCGCCCGAGGGGGCTCCCGCGGGAGGTGGGGAGGGCTGGACGCATCTTGGGGGGCGACCTTGGCGGGAGGTGATGGCCTTAGGTTGACCAGAGCCCCCGAGCGAGCCCCACCGTATCGCCAGCTTCCAGAGAGGCGCCAGCGATCGGAGGCCTCTTGGAAGATCCCTGCCCGCTGTTGTAGGCTGGCTGGGGGGAAGCTGGTCTCGCCTTGGGACCGCTCACAGCCCGCTCTCCTGAATTCTCCACTGTGCCCCACCTTGATCCCACTGGACCAGCTCTCACAGGGGGCTTGCTTCTTTCAGAACACGAAAATTAATGCTGAAAATAAGGTCAAGGTCACCATGGCAGGCGCAAAGCGTGTGCCTGTGCCCACTGCCGCAGCTTGTAAACCCGGGCTGAGACCAAGAACTGCTCTTGGAGATATTGGTAATAAAAACAGTGAACAGCTGCAGGCCAGAGTGCCTCGGAAAAAGGTAACTAACTTCCTGACTCAACTTCCTTGGAAGAGCCTGCCCCCGCCCCCCCCCCCAGCTTCCACCTGGGACCCTGGATGGACAGTCTGTTCATTACTTTTTATCTACAGGAAGTAAAAGCTTCAGCTACTGGAAAAGTTGCTAAAAAGCTACCAAAACCACTGGTAAAGGCCCCTGTGAGTGTGCGAGAGATAGAGCAGGAGTCTGAGACAGAGCCTGAGCCTGAGCCTGAGCCTGAACCTGAACCTGAACCTGCAAAGGAAGAAAAACTTTCGCCTGAACCTATTTTGGTAAACTTACTCTTACCGTTTTAAGTCTGTTACTTTCCCTCATTTCACTCTGTTTTAATAAGTAGTAATAACAGTACTATTTATTGAGTGCTTAGCATAAGAGAGGCCCTTCTAAATACCTAGGTGCATTAACTCACATAATCTGTACAAATACACTCTGGAGTAGGTCTTATTATCTCTACCTTTTAGAGGCTAAGAGAACTCTTAAGTGAGGGTCACAGCAAAGTAACTGGTAAGAGACTCAAGCCCAGGTAAATCATGTTAAGATGTGTAGGATCTTAAATATATTTATGAACCTTGGTCCTTCCTACCACAACCACCTGGGCTGGATATTGAACTCAGGCCTTACATGGCGAACTATCACTAGGCTACATCTTCATCCCTTGTTTTGTTTTCAATGTAACCCAGGCTGGTAAACTCCTGAGTGCTGAGATTGCAGGCTTCTACTGACCTGACTAGCTTTTCCCCTTCCCTACTACTTCGTTGAAAACTATACTAATTCTTGCCTTTGCTTTCCTACTTAGTAGGGAATGCCTTCCCCACCCTCTCATTTAGCAAACCACCTTTATAACCTTTTAACAGCTCTACAAACAACTCCTGAAGCCTTCTCTGACTTCCCCACCAAACCCCTGCTCCTAGAATCTTAGTTTGTTTTGTCTACTCAATTCAAAGCATCTTGAAAATGCCTCAAAGTCAGCACCTGCACAAAATTTGACTTTAAGATAGTACTCAATAGTGTTTGAGCAATAGGGTAAAGGGAACTTGAAGGAAATAGTCTTATATAAGGTAAGTTTGTCCTTAAGCTAGAACTTGTATTCTCTTTAGTAGTGAATGAGAAGCCAATCATTTTTTGAGATGAAGTTGCACTTGGACTTGTCATTCATTTGGATCAGCTTCACCTGATACTGATAAACAGCTTCATTACTTAACCAGTTTTTTCTGGAAGGCAAGTCTACAATATGAATTTACTTGCCTCTATCTTTGCCTTGTTAAGCATTTTGGTTCTGCCAACTTGAAACTGGCTTACTGTAAGGGCATTTTATTTTTGAAAAAGAAATAGAATATTTGCTTTAAAGAAGTAAATTACATTATTTAGCATAATAGTTTGAGTTTGTGTTACCAATATCTGACCTCCATTGCCAAACTGTAAGTTGTTCTCCTCTTGCTGCTGTTTTAAGGTGGATACTCCCTCTCCAAGCCCAATGGAAACATCTGGATGTGCCCCTGCCGAAGAATATTTGTGTCAGGCTTTCTCTGATGTAATACTTGCAGTGAATGATGTGGATGCAGAAGATGGAGCTGATCCAAATCTTTGTAGTGAATATGTGAAAGATATTTATGCTTATCTGAGACAACTTGAGGTCAGTATTATCATTAAAACCTATTCTAAATTGTAACTAGCTCTGTTGAAGGTATATTATTTGAGTGTTTTCAATATAGCCTAGGCTATATTGAAATATACTCTCGAGCTGAGAGTGTAGCTCAAGTGGTAGAGTGCTTATTTGGTCCTGGATTCAATCACCAGACTAAAAAAAAAAAAAAAAAAACAGGCTGCCAGTAGCTCACCCTTGTAATTCGAGCTAGTCAGAAGGCTGAGCGCTGAGGATTATTGTTTGAAGCCAACTCTGGGCATGAAAGTCCATGAGACTATCTCCATCTAACCAGCAAAAAGCCAGAAATAGGGCTATGGCTCAAATGATAAAGTGCTAGCCTTGAGCAAAAAAGCTAAAGGTTCCCAGTCCCTGATTTCAAGCCCCAATATTGGAACCAGAAAATAAAAGGCTAGGCCTGGCACCGGTGGCTAACGCCTATAATCCTAGCTACTTAGGCTGAGATCTGAGGGTTGTGGTTCAAAGCCAGCCCAGGCAGAAAAAGTCTTCATGAGTTACCACTCAAAAACTGGAAGTGACCGTGCACTGGTGGTTCACACCTATAATCCTAGCTACACAGGAGGCTGAGATTTGAGGATCACAGTTCAAAGCTAGCCCTGGCAAGAAAGTCCTCTCCCAGAAAACCAGAAGTGGAGCTGTGGCTCAAGTGGTAGAGTACTTGTCTTGAGCTGAAAAGAGTTCAAGTCCCACAAATGACAAAAAATTAAAAATAAATAGAAGGCCAGACCCAGCACAGTGGTCCCCATGTATATAATCCCAATTACTCAGGAAACAGAAGCATGGAGATCTCAAGTTTTACACCAGCCATGAAAAAATAGAGCTAGACCTGGTCTCTTAAAAAAAAAAATGGGGGGCTGGGAAGGTGACTCAATGGTAGAGTGCTTGCCTTGCATGCCTGAGGCCTTGGGTTCAATTCCTCAGCACCACATAAGAAAAAAGCTGGAAGTGGCGCTGTGGCTCAAGTGGTAGAGTGCTAGCCTTGAGCTGAAGAGCTGAGAGACAGCGCCCAGGCCCAGAGTTCAGGCCCC